ACCAATGATGAACTAGCAAGTAATCTGCAGGGGATCTGTTAAAAAAGGAGTAGAAATAGAACAGATGTGTATGGAAAAGTGCTCCCTCTCTGAAATCAGAGCTCAGGGTAGGCTGCTATGAGGTGGTCTGGCATAGTGGTTTGACCCTCTCTTAAGCTTCTCTTTCTTTCTCCAGAATCTCAGCTGCCCCGAAACAAGCTTTTAGTTAAGATTGTGAAGAAAATATAAATGTGAAGCAAGAGTAAGCAATGCATGAATTTACAGGGAACTTGAACCATAGCTCTGAGAGGTGTGAACTACCCCCAGGGCCGTCCCTAGCTATTCTGGGGCCCTACGCAGCCCCCCAGCAGGGGTGGGGGCCCAGGCCTTTACGGGGAGGGGTTCACGGTGGGGGGGTTGCGGGGCTGGCTTGAGGGGAAGCGGGGGGGGAACTGCCCCCCAGCACTCAACGAGGGCACGGCTGGGGCTGGGTCGCTGCACTTCCTGCTGCTGGGGAGTGCAGGCCTGGCCCTGCAGCAGTCCTCAGGGGGGTGGGGGTGGGGCAGAGCAGGGGCGGGGGCAGAGCAGGGCAGGGGCTTTGGGGCTGGGGCAGAGCAGGGGCGGGGGCTGGAGCAGCACTCAGCTGTGCAGGGCACGAGGAAATTTGATGCCCCAAATTCCCTGGTGCCCTACTCAGCTGCGTACTTTGCGTATGGGTAGGGATGGCCCTGACTACCCCCTTCATCTCAGGGACTGTTAATTCAGATGCCCAGTAACTATTTAAATGTCAACAATAGTTGAGTATTTCACTCCTCATGGAGGAAAGGTGAAGGAGCGTAACAGATCTGCACACCTTACTGTGAGTGAGGCCTCATTCGGGTGTCACACCGTAGTAGGAGATACAACTTTTTCTTCCTCCAATCAAGAAGGACCCAAGTCCGAAGAGCTCATAGGCATATTTAAGCTTAGTGGAGCCAAGCTGAAGGAGCCCAGAGAGCATACAATCATATTTTGAACATCTGTACAGTCTTCTGTGAGTGGCATCTCATTTCGGTGACTTGCATGGGCAAGGATTATGGGAGGAGCTTGGAAGAGTAACCACCTTTTCCCTCCCAATTCAACCTATCTAAAGACATTAGAACCACTCCTAAAAACAATGAGTGGCCAACATTTTCAAAAGCGGTCTCAGATTTTGGGTCCCCAGCTTGAGAGACTAGAAAGTCTGAATCCACCTTGAACTTTTTAGTCAATTACTCTCATGCGAAGATTAAAAATCTCTTTTGTTGTGACAGGTACTTCAAACTCCTAATTTGTACAGGAATGTCCTGATTTTTCTGGGTGTTTGGATACTTCAACCTTCTGTTCATTTCAGTAAAACTAAATTTGGATTTTCCTGACATAATAAACTGCACTTTGTCATAGCATCAATCATGTTTCATTAATTTCTGGACAAATGATCACAGATTAGAAATGAAAAGCTTAAAAAAAGACAATTAAAATTAAATAAAATCAGTAAATGTAGACCAGTTATAAACAAGCAAAAATCCTTTTTTGCTAGAATCATAATTCAAAGCCAATTCTAAAAGTGACAAGAAAAGTATTAAATATATCTCTCTATCTTTTTAACCTTTATACAGACAGCAGGAGCACTGCGAGCTAAATTTGCATTTCATAGCAGGAAACAAAACCATCCCACACAGACATGATAAATCATCAGAAGAACAATGAGATGCCCTGACACATGCATATGTTTTTTCTAAAATCACACAAAATGAAAATATGAGACAACTCAATTTCCATTTCAAAGGCTTATTAGCCATAACTAAGTCTTTCTGCATCAAGAGCAATCTCACTGAAATTTGAACAACTCATTCATTTCCATCAGTGATTTCCTGCTTCTTTATTGACAGTTAGCTGCCCTAGTTTTTAAACAAAACTGTTCTCAGTTACATAGGTGCAACAGGGGCACAGGTTATTTTCCAGTGATAATTTAACCAAAGCCAAAAAGGGTCACTGTTCTAGCAAATATACTGCATAGGAAATGTTCATCTCTAGTTTAATTCCACTGACTTCCCCGAAGATACACCAAGGATAAATCTCTTTATTTTTTAAGTAGGATTGGTTGGGAATTTTCCATCAGAATGTCTTTCCAACAAAAAATGCAGTTTCCACATAATGAAATTCTTCACTGGAAAATGCTGACTTGCTGATTTTTTTTAAGGGGGGGGGGAGATGAGAAAATCAAAATGAAATATTTCATTTTGGGTTGGTTTGAGTTAAATGGAAATATTTCATTCCTTTAACCGACGCTAAATATTTTGTTTTTGAATCAGTTCAGCATAATATTAAACTGCATTTCCGTATCAGTGAATTGCCTTATGGAAGTTGTAGTTCCAGCCCCCAGGGGCCCTTCTGATTAAATGCCTCCAAACTTTAGTGGTGGAGGAAGGGAGTTGAAATTCAAAGATGGAGCTTCACTCTCTACTTTGGACCATCTCAAGTGGGTGCAGCATTATGCTCATATGGTCTTTTCATATGTGAAGGCCTGATCCTGCAAGTACTTTCTAGCAAGAGAACTTGCTACCCGGCATAGTCCCACTTGATTCACCTGAACTATAATGTTTTGTCATTTCGTGGGACTAATCACTGTAGTAAATACTACATCTGGAAATTAGTGTTTGTAGCAGCAGACCCTTAGGTAGTTAGACGCTAAAAAAATCAAATAAAAAACACTTTTAAAAAGTAGCTCTTTAGTTTGTCAGGTTGATGAGGGGAACAGAGTCACCATGAAATAATCTCCACTGCACCTGAAGAAATCCTATTCATGCTTTTTTTTTTATAAAGAGATGTGAGAACTTTTTTTCACATCAGCATGCAGCTCCATTCATATTTAGCACTAGTTTTTAATTCATTACTCTTCAACTGAAAGAAACAGAGTAGCAATGGTATGAGATATGCCAGCCACCCCAGATTAGGTGTAGGAAAATGCTGTTTCAGCCCAGACCATTCACTTTGCAGTAAATTTGAAACTTCCAGAGAGTGAGGTTAGCAGGTGAAATAGAAAATTTCAGTTCTTAAGTCCATCCGGATACCTTCCTCTGGCAGTTTACAGTGAGAATTTGGGTCTGTTACATGACATGCTGTCATACCCCATTATATTGGTCACTTTTATCACAGAACATCTTCATTATGAATGAAATTCTCCCATTATAGTAAGGACTGTGGAAGGCTGAATGCACGAAAAGTTTAGTTTCATGTAAATTCTCCTGGGTAAGGCTGCTATGGAGAGGATGAATTAGGAGACTTCACAGCCCCTGCACAGTGGAGCTGGGCTCCTTGCTAGCTCTACACAGGTCAGTTCAGAGGAGGGACTGGATGTGGGCTGGAAGCAATGTGAGCAGTGAGTCTGTGACTATGCAGATCGAGTGACCAGAAGTTCCTGTGTAGAAGGTGTGCAGTGGTGATGGTCCTCATTCCAGCCTAAAATAGTGCTGGATTCATGTTCTCTATGTATATAAATCTCCCCACTGTATTTTCCACTGAATGCATCCGATGAAGTGAGCTGTAGCTCACGAAAGCTTATGCTCTAATAAATTTGTTAGTCTCTAAGGTGTTACTAGTACTCCTTTTCTTTTTGCGAATACAGACTAACACAGCTGCTACTCTGAAATTAGAGGTTATAGAGTGGATTCTATCCTCCTAACCTTATTATACTTCCCCTGAACAAGGCCTCTGTAAAGAATTTGGGAAGTGTGTCAGGGTTGCCAGCTTTCTAATTGCCCAAAACTGAACATCCCTGCTCTGCCCTGCCTCTTCCCTGAAGCCCCACCCTTGCTCTGCCTCTTCTCTGAGGCCCTGCCCCTGCTTACTCCATCCCCCCTCACTCCGTCGCTTGCTCTCCCCTACCCTCACTCACTTTCACCCAGTTGGGGCAGGGGTTGGAGTGCGGGAGGGAGTGAGGGCTCCAGCTAGGGGTGCGGGCTCCAGAGTGGGGCCATAAATGAGGGGTTCAGGGTGCTGGAGGGGGCTCTGGGCGGTGGCAGAGTTTTGGGAGGGGGTGAGGGCTCTGGGGTGAGGCCGGGGATGAGGGGTTTGGGGTGCAGGAGGGGGCTTAAGGCTGGGGCGAGGGGTGGGGGTGTGGACTCCGGGAGAGAGTTTGGGTGAGGGAGGGGGCTCAGGTCAGGGGGTTGGGGTGCAGGAGGGAATTTGGGTACAGGAGGGGGCGCAGGACTGGGGCAGGGCATTGGGGTGCAGGAGGGGGTGAGGGGTGCCAGCCCTGGCTGGGGTGATGCTTACCTCAGGTGGCTCCCAGAAGCAGCCGGCATGTCTGGCTCCTAGGCAGAGGGGCCAGAGGGCTCTGCGTGCTGCCCACACCCGCACGCACCATCCCCACAGCTTCCATTGGCCGTGGTTCCTGGCCACTGGGAGCTGTGGAGTTGGCGCTTGGGCCGGGGAGCAGCACGTGGCTGCTCCTGCACCTAGGAGCCGGACATGCCAGCTGCTTCTGGGTGCCATGCAGAGCAGGCAAGGAGCCTGCCTTGGCCCCGCTGTGCCGCCTGACAGGACTTTTAGCAGCCCAGTCAGCACCAGTCAAAAACCGAATGCCTGGCAACCATACACTGTATGGGGAAGGAAAGGAGTGAACTTCATCCAATAAAAGGAGAAAGTGAAATTTTACACTGGAAACTCAACATTTGGATATTAATTGTGGAACTTTTGAGTTCTGAATATTCAGGTGCTTATTCCAGGAGTTTAGATGAAGTGCTTGTCTCCCTAAATCTGCAAAATTAGTCTGGAAATTTTATGAGAACAGTTTATCAACCATCCCTCTTCTAGTCACAGCCAACATCTGGAGGTGATAAATGCTTATCCAAATATTCTGAGATTCTTCCAAAGGGTTTGTTTGAGTTTGGTTACAGAAAGAGGTAAACTTTTAGCTGGAGAAGGGGTTATCTTTTATGAACTGATTCTCCTAATCCCCAGACTGGCCTAACCTGTAACCTTCTCTGCTCTTTCCTCAGGCAACGCCTAACTGAGAAGCAAAGGCTGAGACTCCCTCTCTGCTTTACCTGGCCAACTACTTTATCACACTCACTCCCCTTTGCTCTTCAGATGGCTCCTGCTCTGAAAAGTCAGTCTTGAGGGGAAGAGCCATAGAGAATGGGCACCAAATTAAGACTCAAAGTCAGCACTGAGCTCACTTCTCCCATAACAAAATCAAGTCTGTGAAGAGGAGAGAGAAAAAAGAGGGGACAGAAGCTATAATGAAAGACAGAAACCTAATTGGGGCTCAGGAGAAGAAGGAATGGACAACATGAGGGGAGAGAGAGACACACACATTTAGGAAGAGCTCTCTGAGGAGAGGGATGGGAAACCTTAGGGGAAGATAGAGGTCTTTGGCCTCTGAAGATGCCCCTGTAGTCACCTCAGCGGGAAAACAGGCTTTTCATAACCCTCCTGAAGTATGGAGATTTAAAATTAAAACAAAACTTCATTTCCTGTGAGTTTGCAACAATTGATGCTAATTTTACGTAATTATATATAAACTTCATGCAAATTTTCCCTCAGGCTTTTCGATGGCCCAGTGCAGGCTGGTCTTTCCTCCCTTTTATTTAGCTAATTGGGGACTTTCATTTACTGAATTATATAAATGGAGTTTCGGTTTATCCAAATTCATTATGAATTGATTCCACTGTACAATTAATTTTCATTTTAAGTGTGAGTGAGGAGTGCACAGTGAAATTTTCACCTGCATTGCTCCTATGCCAGTCCAAAAGGCTTAACTACAATGGTTGCAGCAGAGAAACAGCCTGATTCTAGGCTCTCCTGGCTTATTTCAATTAGTTGCCATAGTATAATCCCTCAGTGAACATTTCTGATCTTCAAGGTGTTGCATTTGCAAGAGAATGATAGAGTCAAGAGGAGGTATCTCTGGTAGCCAGATTAAAGAAATTAATTAGACAGCATAATTTTTTTAGTACTTAAAAAACAAGAAGTGGGTGTTAGTTTTGTGTCATGCTATGAAACGTCAACACTGTGACCCCTTTTAATTATCTTCGTGATTCACTGAACTCCCAGATCTGCAAGAATTCCTGTATTTCACAGGAATAATGGAAAAGACAAAAGATGACACCACAGCTTGCTATTTATAAAGAAAAAGAACTAATGAGATTTAGGTGTTCTTTGAAAAATATAACCTCTGAAGAAGAGTGGAATGAAATTTGCTCAGACATAGGGATGAACATGAAATTTATCCTATTACCTGTGAATAATAGGTGCATCAGTTGCAACTGAAACTGGACATGAGTTCTTTCTCTTTCCTTATTCAGAGCCAGTTTCTGAAGAAAGATTGAGACTGGTTGGTTGCCATTTTAAGAGAGAGTTGCCTAAGGTCTCTGTATAGAGTGCCAATAAAATTTAGTAAGCCTGTTGCTTTTAGGGCTAATTGATGCCCTTTTAAAAAGCAGAGCTAGGTAAGCTCACTGCACAAGCACTAGTCTCAGCTGACATTAAACCTTTGTATCACCTGCAGAGGGAAAATGTTAAACACACTGGACAGCTGGACTTGCTATGCTTACAGGTAGTTTGTAAGAAGTTGTAGCCAACACTTGCATGGGGGCAGAAAGTTGGCCTTGGCCTCAAACATTTCTCAGATAGGGACCATGAGTGCCTAAGCCAGCATTAGCCAGTACCCTCCTACTGAACATCTCCAGGCCCCCAATATAGGACATCAGACAACCATCAGATATTCACTACCAGAAGTAGGCATTAAGACTGCAAACATTTGGGGATATTGAATTTCACAGCTAAGAGCCAGCTGCAAATTTCAGCACCCAATCTGGATCTATTTTTGAACTTTCCCAAACTTTGGTTCCCATCACCAATTCACTGAGCTCACCTGTCCCACCAATACATTTTATAAAAGTTAATTAAAAATGAAGCAAAAAGATTCCTGCTACTTTATGGCCTCAGTTCCCTGTTTACATACGCTTTAACCAGGCAAAATTCCCATTGACCTTAATGACACATTTGTCTGAGATAGGACTGCAGGATAGGGCCCTTACATAGGAAGTTCCAACTTACAGTAAAAGTGCTATGAATGAATTCTAAAACCACTGAAGATTTGGCTTGAACTTAATATTGGAAATCTGTGGCACCAAAGCTAGTATAAATATTCATTGGGAATGGCCTGAGAGCAAAATTATTCTATTAGTCTAATACTAATAGACTTATTCCTCCACTGGACCACCTATGTAGAGTTAAATATAGATACAAAGCTTTTAAGTCATATTTAGTGTAATTCAAGGCTCTTTATGTTTCTGCATGACAATCCTTTGATCTACTATACCATATTTCTGCCCAGTACCTTCTTTAAATTTCACTATACCTGAAACAATGGCAGTTTTAACTTTTTGGTTTCTAGTTTATTTGTTAAAGTAAACTGACTGCCCCACAATCTAATACCTCACTAATTAAAATATTAGTTGGTGGAAAAATCAATGTTTAAAATACTGTTTTCCCCTAATTTTTGTCTCCAGCAGGAAGGGAGATTTTCTACGGTAACATTAATTTGTATGGTTAAAAATAGCAAAATTGTAACCTCTGATGACATTTACTTTACAATCCTTTCTACTCTTTTTCTTTCTTTTAACAGCTTGTGTTATAACTGTGGGGGAAGAGGGCAAGAGAGACACTTGGGAGTATGCTGTTGGGTATAATAACTACCCAGCTACAATAAGTGAATGCATTGCACTTTGCTCCATGCACCCCAAGTGTAAATTATTATACAATAACACAGCTTATTATGCCCTATTACTTCAGTATAATAAATTGAATAGGGTGTGATGTGATCACAAATTAAGGCCCCTATCCTGCAAACATTTTTGACGTGAGTATCTTTTCTTCCACATGGAATTCCATTAAGTTCAATAGGAATACTCCCATTAATAAAATTATTCATGGCCCAAACCACAAGATATTTAGCACATGAATGACTTAAAGTCAGTGGGACTTCTTACATGGCACATGGTTAAGTAACTTGCTGAATCAGAGTCCATGTGGATCTAGACTGTTCTCAGTGGTAGCTGATGACAGAACAAGGAATAATGGTCTCAAGTTGCAGTGGGGGAGGTTTAGGTTGGATATTAGGAAAAACTTTTTCACTAGGAGGGTGGTGAAACACTGGAATGCGTTACATAGGGAGGTGGTGGAATCTCCTTCCTTAGATATTTTTAAGGTCAGGCTTGACAAAGCCCTGGCTGGGATGATTTAGTTGGGGATTGGTCCTGCTTTGAGCAGGGGGTTGGACTAGAAGACCTCCTGAGGTCCCTTCCAACCCTGATATTCTATGATTCTGTGATTCTATGCCTGCAGGATCAGCACAAAAGTCACCAATTGACCTGATACCACTCAGGTGTTGCTGCAGCTCAGCCTTTCTACTGCCAGATGAACAATGCAACCAGTACTGTAGTTGTGTGTTTAAGTATGTCTACTCTGTAATCATGGCATGTGATTGCATATATACCCAAATTAGCTTTAATCTAGCAGTGGATACTGGAGCAGGGAAGCTGTGGCAGCATAGGCTTCAACAAGCCTGCCTGGAACTCCAGGTAACTGCTTGGGCAGCTAGCCCATGCTGAACCCCCTGCTGCTGTGGCTTTGCTGCTTGGATACTTGAGCAAGCTAAATTAAAGCTTTCAGTTCATTAAGAGCCATACCCAATGTGCTTCAAGTCACCTGGTGGCACTATTAATTTTTAAACACAGATTTGCTTTGAACAAGTTGCTGCTTAGGCTGTTGCTGGTTGGAGTCCTAGTGTTTGTGGAGTGTTTCAGAGAAAGATAACTTCATAAAGAAATATGGAAAGGAAAGTTAAATTGTCTCTATTTATTTTACTTGTTGCAATTTTGTTTTTCTTGCTGAGTTTCCCCAAGTCATGCTCCCTTCCTCATGGATTGGGAAGAGAAATGTTGTAGAGTTAATACATCAACTTCACACCATCCCAGGATTTCTTGTACGCAATGTGAATAACAAGTGAGGCAGTTAAGAAGGCTTTCTGGCTGCTTTCTATTGCTATAGTGGCAAAAAGCAGCCAAAATGTAAGCGACGATTAAGGTAATAAAGACCGCATTTTAAGGCATAAACATAACAGAGGCAGCAAGGTCTAGTGGACAGGTCACCAGACTGTGACTCAGGACAACTAAATTCTACTTCCAGCTCCTGCCACTGACACACTGTATGATCCTGGGCAAGTCACTTCATGCCACCTTTTGTCTGTCTTGTTTATTTATGTTGTTAACTTGTCAGGACAGGACATTCTCATACTTGGAGTGTATATTACCTACTACAATGGGGCCCCTGTCTTGGCTGAGGTGTTCTTATAATATCAATAATTAATATGGCAGTTTTGAGATGTTTCAACATCAGCTCTGCATTTTCTCAGTTTTCAGTGCTCAATTCCACAACACTAATGTGGTATCAATGTTAGTTTTTTGCACAGAATTATTGAATAAGGTTGACTGGCGTAGTGAAAGGGATAGTAAAGACACATTTGACATATGTATGACTCTTAAAAAAAGTTTCAGTTCATTAAGAGTCAGATCTTCTCCCCATTGCAGTGAGCTGCAAAACTCCCATTTACGTCAGTAGTGCCGGATGAAGCACTATGCTATTTTATGGAAATAATCACACACACACACACACAAACAGAATAAGACTGATGTGGGGGCTTCTAGAAGTACTAAAAGCATCAAGGGAAAAACTAAGGGTGTGTGATATGATCCCTATAAAAACACAAATATAAGAGGATAAAAAAAGATGGAAACAAAGTTTAAAGGATGCCAGGATTAGGACTGCCAAAATTGGTAACGGAAATTATGATAAATTATTCAGAACAGGGAAGACAATTGGGCCAAAATGCTGAAACCTCGGTACATAAATTAAGGCACCTAAATAAATGTTCTGATTTTTTTTCAAAGGGCCGGAGCACCTGACTTGCCCACTGAAGACAAACTGTAGGCAACCAACTTTGTAAATTTTGGCCATCAGGGGCCTGGTTTTCAGAAGTGCTGAGCACCCAACATTCCAGTTGGAGTCAATGGTACCTGTAGGTTTTTATTACATCTAAAACCAAGCTTAATTCCTCCCAGGCATATTGAAAGGAATGTGGCGACTCAGACATAAGAGAGAGCCGAACAAAGTTTCTTTCGTAATTTCTGAAGAGAAATAATACGCCACAATGAAAAGTCTATAGAGGAGACGAGCAGAAAGCTAAAGATTTTAATAATTACATCTGTATTATACTGTATTTATTACACACACACAACCCTACATTAAAAGAACATCATTAACAGTGTATAGGCAAGTATTCAAAAGTTAGGAAATACCAGAATTAAGGTTGCCTGTGCAACCTTATTTTGGCCCCCTTATGCATATGCATTATGATATAGTCTTTAATTACATACATTTTTTTTCACAGACCCCCTGCTTCATTCAGTGCACAGAATGGACTGAATGGGTGAGAAGAACAAAGGGAAGAGGGAGGGGCGAGTTCCTGCCCAAATTGAAGTCAATGTCAAAGAGGAAGGGTTCATTCTGCTTTCCAGGATTTTACCCTGAAATATTATTAACTGCTTGTGCGCTGCAGCAGATTTCAGAAGTGGTATTCTTTTAAATGCCAGAGTTTCATTTCCAGGTTGGCATTTCAATAGTGACATATCAGGATCATGGGGTATGTCCCATATGGTATGTTGGACAGCACTGAAGCAGGTAATAGATGAAATCAGAAGGGAGGAGTAGTAAAAACAAATCCATCTTGTAAAGGGTGAATCTTGTCTGACAAAGCTGGTGGCATTTTTTGAAAAGGAGATAATGCAGTGAGCAGACGGTGAAATCATGGATATAATCTGTTTGGATTATGAAGATTAAAAGGCATTTGACAGAGTTCTGCATACTACATAAGGTCAGAAACAGGACAGAAAGCGCTGCCCTTGAGTGGATGCAAAACTGGGTTAGGTGACCAAAGGCAGACTTCACTGGTTGGAAGTTATGAGTTAATAAAACAAAGAAAGGCAAGGACTATAGTATTGCAGGAATTAGTGTTGGGTTGACACTTTTCATTCTACACATAGTTTAAAGGAAGGTACCACGGACATAGTATGTAAATTTGTGAATGACCTCCCCAGCCCCTGCAACTAAAAAGAACAACAAATTACCCTGAAGAAAGGAATTAGAGGTAATGGAGTAAGTCAAATGTCTTATGAGTTTCATTCAGTTTAGGCAAATAGAAGGTCATGTGGTATGAAAAAGGAATTTGAAATATAGAAACAATACATATTATACACATACAAACATATTTACAGTAAAGAGAGCAGGGAAAACACCTGGAAATGACAGAAGAAATAATGAGATAAAATTAAGAAAAAAAAATGTAGTTTGAATATCAGGAAAAATATCCTGGTGATTAAATATATTAGTCTGTGGAACACTCTTCCAACGGGAACGCTTGAAAGCCCAATTATTTGACTGGCCCTTCTTGAAAAGACACTACAGAGAATAATCCAGCACTGGGCCCAAGAGATAGACAAGATGACCTCATAGCTCTTTGGGACACGAACCATATATTTGTTCTGGGTTTGTATGGTGTCTGACACAATGGGGTCAGGGTCCATGACGCACTCCTAGGTGCTACCGCAATACAAATAATAATAGGATCCTCTCTATTTTTAATTTCTCTGGGCCACATCTTTAAGTCTTTGTCCAATACTTACTCAGGCAAAACTGTCATCACAGCCAGTGAGTCTAAGGTATTTAGTCAGGCTTGACTCAGTTTGAGTGGGCAGAGACTGATTTAAGGGCCTCACGATTTTGCCTCATTGGTGTTACAGATACTGGACAGTTTCTCAGAAACTGGACCTATCAGAGTTTTGCCCTGTGTAAGAGGTAAGGTCTAGATCCTTGAAGGTACTTGAGCACCCAACACCCACTGAAATCAATGGGAATCAGGCATTAAATACCTTGAGGATCAGGGCCTATGTAAAACAGAGTAAGAACTTTAGGGCTTGACTCAAGAATTCCAAACAGTGGCATTAAACCATCAGCACAAGGTGTGGCTGCAGTCCAAAAGGCAAAAACAGTGAGGATACATACCTAAACCAAGACAAACAAAGAAATTATAATAAACATTGTTCAAGAACTCTTTAAGGAACTTGCAATGAACTACATTTAGAATATGACTAATTTTTTTGTCACTGTGCACTAGAAATGGCAATTAGGCAATGAAAAGGGACCAAGAAGGATAAAAAGAGCTAGTGGTGGGAGTCCTAAAATATATGTTAAACGTGGAAAAACTAGGATTGTATAGATTGGGGAATAGAAGCTTATGAGAGGCTATGACCGACACAAGATGTAAAGATATAGTTATGTGATACCAAATCCTGTTCTCTGTTACACTAGTGCAATTCTACTGAAGTCAGTTAGTCTACATGGGCTTGGTCTAAAGAGGTGCTGAGCACTCACAACTCCAACTGACGTCAATGGAAGCTGCAGGTACTCAGCTCTGCTGAGAATCATGCCCCAGGGATCTAAATAAGGTAAGAATAATAATTAAGAAAGATTCTTCTTAACTGTAGCTAACCTAATTTAATGTTTCCCTACTTCTCTTAAGATAAAAAAGTCTGTACCTTCCTGCTTCTCCTCATTTAGGGAACATGTATAAGGCTCAGATTGGGTCTAGAGAAGCAGCAGAACTAAGAGGCTGTAAGAAACTCACTTCTCTTAAACTTTGACTCAGGGAGACTGGGTCATTGGAATCCATTCAGCTTTTCTCTTACTGTGGGGGACTCTACATTCTCTGATGGTGAGGAGAGCAGACATAGTCAGAAGGTGCTCCACAGGGCTACCCCATGGATGGAGGGCTACTTGTCTTAGTGGATGTGGGTGACATTAAGGTGACTATTTTCAAAATCAAAATCCAGCACTGTTTTCTGGCAACATTTTTTAGGGTTGTTAAATACTTGGGAGCTCTACATTCTGATTGTTCTATGTCAGACAAGCTCCAGGTGGAGCAACAGAAAAGATGAAAGAAGGCTGAACTCTGTCTCTTTTCCTCACCTCGTTCCTCCCTGTAGTTTTGGTGATTTTAGAGATGAGGGAAGCAAGAGACAGGCACTTCTAGGCAACCACCCCCCTCCTTTCCCAAGCCCTACAAAGGACCAGCGCAGGTATGCTTGGAGCAAAATATATGCTGACTACATGGTGAGAGTGAAAAGGGAGTACAAAATATTTCATATCGCTACAGCAGAGACACAAACATTTACTAGTTACAAAAAATATGTTTTGATTAATTGGAAAACTTGGACATTTTGATTGTCCTGAAAGAAGTTCTTGTATGAAAAATCAGAACATATTACTCTTTAGGGAACACACCTTTGATGATCTAGGTGTATCACAGGGTAAGGTAGCCCACAGAGGGATTAGATGCCTCACAGAGGGATGAAGGGAGGGGAAGTGAATGAGTGTTTCACTTCAGGGAGTCCCCATGTGAACATGCTCTAGAGTAGAGAAACGTGGCACACGCCATTTCATGTACATTTGTTGAGTTAGATGCTCTGCTCTGGAAGCCTAAGGTTCAAAAATGAATGCCAGCTCTGGGATAAGACAAAAGGATCTTTAGCGATAGTTAACCAACTATCAGTTACTGACAGGGATCCAAGGATATCAGGTCAGGAAGAGCGCACTCATTTTCTTGGTAAAGTTGTATGACGTACATTTATCTAGTACAGGTACTTTATTGGGGGAGGAGGGTGAGTTTCAAGCATCAGGTATAGGCCATTGCAGGAGGAAGAATAGCAGATTTGGTGGACCACTGGACACACAACAAAGCCTATAGCCAAGATTTTCAAAAGTGGGTGCTTAAATTTAGGCTCCTAATTGGCCCCTATACCAATATTTTCAAAAACAGGAGCCTAAAGTAAGGCTCTAAAAATCAATATGTAGGCATCTATATAATTTTCCAAAGTGCTGAGCACCCAACATTTCCCATTGAGTACAGCCATCTTGTAAATCAGGCTAATTATGAGGGACTTAGAACTCTAACTTTAGGCACCTATGTTTTTAAAATCTAGGCATATATTTCTATGTTGGGATGGGTGCATACTTTTCCATTATGTCTTTAGCAACAAGAAAAAAAGATTGTTCCAAAATCATCTCAGTGATATGTATAGCTCTAAACATTACAAGAGCATGATTCAAAGCTCCAAACAACCTTTTGGGTCAAGAACGACCATTACAAATACATTTTTGCTTTTTTTAGAAATAAAAAGAATCTGTGTATATTACACTCCGCCTGAGACTTGGTTTGCTTTGCTTTTAATCATGTTCATGCTTATTCTCATTGTTATTGTATTGCTTTCATCTTCAATAAACAGAATATTTTTTATAAAACATCTTCTTGTATCTGCAATTCAAGATTCCCTGTGACTTGGCATAATTCAAAGAACTCTAGACTAAGTTACTGACCTACCTCAGATCTGCTTGCTTTCTGGTTGCTGCTTGCATTTTTCAGTGGTAAGAAAGTGACAGTAATATATATATATAACCTGGGTTGGCACGTAGCTTTTTCATTCTGCTCTTATAGTTGGACTGCCAAACTGTGAGTGACAGGAAGAAAACAAAGCTAATGAAGACGAGAAGGAAAAATTGCATGACACGAAGAAATAAGAAATGAAAAATGATAAAATTCAGGCAAGAATTTTTTTAAAAAATCCTAAAAAGAATGGCAGAATTTGATTTTGCAGTGCTGGCTTACAGCCAGGTAATTGTCTAGAGGAAATCAACTGAAGCAGATACAACTAAGATAAAAATTTTGTGTATGTGTGTTTATGAGGCAAAGAGGAGGAACCTGAAGAAAATAAAAGGACCCCTCAAGGATGATAGAACTTTGTGCCTTTAACCCCTCAGGCAGACATGTATGTTAAAGAAATGTTTCCATTTCTCTCTTTTGCTTTTAAAAGAAGAGAGAGATGCTCAACACTATGAGTAGACTAGTGGTTTGAGCACTGATCTATGAGCCAGGAATTTCTGATCCCAGCTGTGCTACAGTCTCCTTCTATGGCCTTTTGCAAATCACACAGCGCCTGACCTTGTAATTCTCTTTCAGGAAAAACTCGCATGGATCTTTTCAGCAGAATGGGCACTGAAATGGTTTGGTTTGGTGAAACAGGTCAGGTAGGTGGAAAGGAGCTGTTATCATATTTCCATGATTGAACTTCTTCTTAAAAATGTTTTTAAAGCACCAGGAGTTAAAAAAGTGTCATGTTTTTTAGTAGCAGCTAACATATCATGGTAGTCCTGTGATGAGACAAGAGACTCCTTCATTATGTTCAATAGAATTCCTCTTCCATAATTCCAGAAGGCTGTGTGTCGTAGGTGAAGGTAATCAAATCTGGTATTCCATAGTCAGGGACTCCATCCTTTTCCTGTACTTCAATGGGGATCATTCTTTGTGGATGCACCTAAGCTGCTGAGCAAGCAGGAACTTTCATAACTTATGCTTACAACAAATTTTAAGATCAATCCAGCTATTGTGGCTTGTGTCTAGCTCTAGTCTAGGTGCACAATGGGCACAAAAAATCCTCAATCCCTGTGTGCACTTTGTGAAAAGAAGTCCATATTCCTTCTTTCAAAAATATAACAGAGTCAAAGAACTCCTACATCTGTGTTCAATTTATATGAAACAATTTTGCTGGCTCAGAAACCATTGCATAATAATCATGGGTAAATGTTGGCTTGTTAAAGCCTACCACTATATGTATTTTCCCCCATTATTTCCTGTAGATTCTATACCATTTATGCATATGGGTATAAAAATAAAAGTAATCTTTCTGTTTCTCTTACAGATATCTAAGCAAAGTTGCAAGAAGCCAATTAGCTTTGTATCCTAAGCTTTATTGGCAGCAGAAAGCCTGAATCACAAGAACATTTGGTTCTCTGGAATTTGGATCTCATCGGAGAGAACCAACGCCAGCTCTAACGAGAGTGACTGCCAGTTGTTCTTCAAAGCTACAGCAACAGCAATTACAAATTAAGGATCAATATCTGATCAGATTCTTATTATGAGAGATACAGACTCAGAGGTGCGTAAAGCATCTGGTCCTAGGTCAGTGGGATAGGTGGCTGAAACTACTAGTCAGCCACTATCTAAAGACAGAAGAAGGATGCTTCGAGGGAAACTCCAGGACCTAAAGGGGAGGTGACAGTTGAGGGAGCACTTGGGGGTGAGGGAGTGACTTGGGAAAGACAGTGTTCCAGGGTTTCACCTCAGCTGGACACTCAAATTCTACAGAACTCATTTTTATGGATTCTGAACTTCCAAATGAATTGGCATGACTGATAAAATGTCAGCCTCTACAAATGAACCCAGCAGAGTGTGGTTCATGTAATCCTTACTAATTGAACCCTGCTGGGTTTGGTCCACTTTGGTGATGCCAAGTAGAAGGCCGGGGGGCGGGGGGGAGGGGAAGGGGAAGGAGGCACTTTACACACTGCACTGCTTGGGCACTCGCTCGTCACCCTAACGGCTGATTGCCACACCTCTGCAGAGCTCTGCTCTGGCCCTCTCCATCAGCTTCTCTGCTGGTTATGCCTCTCAGTCAGCCGCCCTGCTAGCCGCTTACTGCACCTCTCCCCGAGTGCCCGAGCAGTGCAGCATGTAAGGTGCCACCTTACCCTCCTTGCCTTCCACACAGAATGGGTGGTGAACTCTGCGGATGAACCTCTGAACTCTGGGGGCTGCACTGGCCAAGGACAGCAACTGTGAGTGGGGTACAGAAAAGGGACGGGCACGTTAAAGGGACTTTTGGGTTGCTGGACTTAAGACCCTGAGGGGAAAAGGACACTGCCCAACTTACTTGGCGGTGGGTCTTTTGCTCATGGTTTGTGTTTATGAACTCTCGTTGCAGTGTTTTCCCAAATTAATGCTGAGTTACTTCCCTCCTTTTATTAAAAGTTTTTGAAACACTCAGACTGTGTTTGTGAGAGGGGAAGTATTGTCTCTTAGAGGCACCCGGGGATGGCATGTAATTGTCCAAGGTCACTGGCTGGAGGCTTGAGATGGTTTTGTGTTGTATTGAAGAGGAACCCCTAGATACTGAACACAGCCCTTGTTGTTGCTGGCTCTGCCTGGCAGAAGGGTTACATTTTTGGGGGCTCATCCAGGATACCTGGGTCAGTACCCCTCACAAGCACATCTTGAGTGATCCATTAAATCAGGAAAACCATTTTGTTATATTTTGGGGGAAATTGCAGTTTGTATAATCACTCTACATGTTCGAGGATTGGTGCAAGGGGATGAATATTGACCCTAAGAACTGTCTTCTGGTGACAGGGATACCAGAGGCAGTCGATGAGGGCTCAATAGACTCTATTTTAAGGGCAGCCACTGAGTGCCTGAGTAAGTGCAAAATGCGTGGGTGCATGTTCATGATGGAGGAGGAGGCTTTTGCAGTACTGTGTGAGCTGCCAGTGGCTGTGAACCTTTTACACTTCTTTTCAAATAAGAATTAATTAGACGCACCTATAGAGGATGAAACTGCTGAGGATGTTGCAGTACCTGAAACACAAATTGTTCTAATTGTCAGGACCCCTCAGAATTACTCTCTGAGTAATACTAAGGTCTCCTAGGGTACAGAAAAGTACTGCATAAGGAAACTCCTTCATGTCCATAAACTTGAAAGGCTAGATTGTGACTAGCCCTCACATGGGTACAAGATGGGAACCCAAGATGCAAAGAGCTTCGTATTCCAACCAGTTCCCTACCCACAAGGGCCAGTCAGAATCACAGTGCCTGTCCTCTCTGCTAGCCACCACAAAGGGGATGAGTTCTTCCCTTCCTCTTCCCTGCTGCCTCATTGCAACCTCAAGAGCTGGCCAGCTGTGAAGAGGGGAGAGCTCTACTACACCATCCTAATAGTTTGAGCTGCATGTGTACAGCTTGGAGCTCCAGCAGGAAGTTTGCCTCACTGAGGCACAATCCTTCCCAGAGTTGTCCCCAGCAGTGTCTTCAAGGAATATAAATGAGCTGGGTTTCTTGCAATTTTTGTGTCATCATTGTATTCTAAGGACCTTTCATCCTTGGTCCACTGACTTCCTCCATGGCCTTAGGCAACTCATATAACCTCTGTGCCTCATCTATAAAATGGGGATAATAGTGCTGACTCACTCACAGAGATGCTGTGAGGATTCATTAATGAATGTATGTAACGTGCTTTGAAGATGAAAAGCTCCCTAAGTTCTAAGAGTTATTAATCATTTATTATTGTTGTTCCCTCAAATAGCATATATTTCAAAGACACAATGATTTTCTTTTGTCTGATTCCTTCTTCACTAGGCACCACTGAGACTATCCCAGCAAACAAAAGCTGTTTCAGTTTTGCAGATGAATACAGATTTGGGGAGGCTTTGCTTATCCATTCTTTCATGCTGGGTTATCTTGAATGATTTCCAAGGCGCCCCAGTGCCTCCACAGAGTGGCTCTCTAAATCTCTACTCCAACAGAACAGCAAGCCAGGCCACCAGAATGGAACAGAGAGCGGAAGAAGCATTCCATTTCCCAAATACAGTAATTGATTTAGCAGCAGTTTAAAACAATGTTGAGCATTGTCAAGGATGTTCCTTTGTGGCACTAAATCAAGTTCCTCAAGATGGATTACATGCTAACCACATACTATCTAAAAATCTCAAGGGCTGTTTGTTGTTCAGCAATTTATGATAGCCTTGTTAGAGGACTGCATATGAGGCATCTCTGGAGTCTGAGAAGAAACAGAGACAAATAGCATACAAACTATATTGAACAATTCATTACATTATATTGTGGAAACCTAAGCACAGCATGCAGATAACCCTTTTATGTATGCTGCCTTATTGAACAATAATCACTCTGTAATGTTTCAGATATTTAAATCATATTTATAATAACACATTTTAATGCAACATCCCTCATAAAGTTCTCAAGGTATTTTACGGGGTGCATAAAGCATGGAAAAATACAAAATTTTAAAATGCAGATTCACCTACCGCAGGGCCCTTGAGCCAATCTAATGAGGTAGATATACAAAAGTCTAAGCTGACAGTTTAACTATTTAAGTAGTGTATATAATAATTCAAACACATTTTAAGATATTCTTAGTTATAAACCCATTCTTTAACTAAATATTTGGGCTAGGTTACATAAGTGCTTATTTTCAGTTTACAGTTATGGCCAGAAACAGGGACACTTTTTGGTTCCTTATTTAGAATCTTTCCCTTGAAAGCTTTCAGGGTCCCCAGCTAAAAGATAAATTATTGCTTTTTTTTTTAGTTCCTTTGCAGAATGTGTTCCATAACAATACTTTGGCAATGTGGACCAAGAAACACGGTCCAGTAGATGGGTTACAGGACTTAGAGCCAGGAGACCTTCGTTCCGGCCCTACTAGTAACTTAATGTATTGGCCAGGGAGCTTCACTTCTCTGTGCCTCAGTTTCATCATTTATAAAATAGGGATGATTATATTTGCGTACCTTTATATATGGTCTTTGGTATCTATGGATGGAACATGCTACATTAGTTCGCATTAGAATTATTACTATTCTGAATGCTGGGAAAAAAGTGGAAGGCTATAGAGATTGGTAATGGGATACAGAGCTTTCATTTCTGTAAGTCACTGGCTTAGCCCAGGGCCCCCATTCACGAAAGCACTAGCCTAAATCCAGACAGCACTTAAGGATGACTATCTGAGTCAGGGACCAGATTGGTACCATCTGATCCATGACTTGTGTGAAATGAAATGGTGATCTCATCCCTCTTCACAATGTACTGGTGTCTATAGTTCACTTGGTGGGCTCCTGGTTATAGGCCCCAATCTTTTTTTCTATTTGTCATAGCAGGAAAGGAAAGTGATTGCAATAGGTAAGGCTGCTGCTATTATAATCCACCCTCCCCTTTTCATTTGCTAATAACTTTTTCAAAGGAGCTGACATTTTCCATGCTGGCTTTTCTCTCAAAGGTGACTTTTTTTAAATGTTACAGCTGAATGTGTTCAGTTTTGAGCCTTGCAGGTTTTTTATAATATCAAAATTAATACATGGGCCCATATGTTCCAATCATAAATGGTTTGGGTGCATAAGGCAACAACAGTTGAATGGACTTTGTTCAAACTTAGCTTGTTTTGTAGATCTGATTAAGTTCTAAGTAGCAATTCAAGCTTATATTAAATTGGGGCTGACTGATTGTTTCTCTAAGCAGCTGGCATTCTGCTGCCACCCAGACTTCAGAGACAGGATCCCACACTGAGGGCAGGCTCTTCTGCAGTGGTGCCATGATGAAACCATCATTATGTTGGGGTGAAGATTGAGGTCAAATCTGGATTCACAGAACTTTGTTGCTGTAACCAGAAACTGAACCCAAACTTATTCAGGGTTTTTCATACCTAGAAAATTGTAGTTTGTCCCCATTTTCCTTGCTTATTAATAGATGTGATGCTGTAAATGACATTTCCATCAAGTTAAGTATTATACCGACCAGATTTATGTAATATTTAGGGTATATTTAACTTTTATGAAAAAGTATTTTAAGGTATAAAGGATAAAATGTTGACAGCTTTACTCTCAGTCTTTACTCAGCTAAAATCCCCCTTAAAAGAATTCAGGATTTGGCTTATTAATTTCCTTGAGAGTTTGTCTGAGTAAGAATTGCAGTGTTTGGTCCATGATTAGAATTTCTTGCAGTCATTCCTTATAGCTTCAGCCGTTCAGGAATATTTAGTTTTAATTTTATTTCTATGAGGTCCAGAAATATTTTTGAATATACAATACTGTATAAAAAGTGTCTGTTTTGGGGTGTAGGACTGTATGCATGTGTGTGTATATGGGGTTTTTTTTGTGAGTGTGTGAGCATGTGTTTGATTTTGATTTTTGACTTCTCCTGCCTCTTGACCTCCCTCATTTGGTTAATACTTAGATTAAGAAAACAAGGGTCACGTGTAAGGGAGTTGGAGGGCATATGTATGTGCACAGATGTGCGTTTTGCTATTTGAGGATTACAAGAGGGATACAACAATAATTGAATTCAAGATAACTAGATGGACAGAAAGACACATGGGAGCTACAGCCACTGTAAGAATTAGGAAGACGAAAAATGAGTATGGGAAAAAGGGGTTATTATCCAACCAATAAAGGTTTGGGAATCCACACAAATAAAAGTTTTGGGAATTGGAGGAGTTTCAGATGATTCTTTTTTTACGCTCTTTTGTTCTTTTTTGCAAACCATTTCCCCCTTGGGAGATGATGAAGGAAGCCAAGAAACTCTTGGGAGATACAGTTTCTGACTAGTGCTTCTGCAGAAGAGCATCCTGTGCTGACTGTTTTCTCAACTGGAGAATCAGTGGTGAAAGCAGTAGCTAAGAGCTGTGGGTGAGGAGAGCTAGTTGTTTTACGCTTTCTGTATGTATACACTGAGAAGAAGGTTTTCTTTAAAGAGATGCTTGTGAAACCTCCATCAAATGCAGGCAACAGAGAAAGAGCATAAGAGCGAGCAGGCTTTTCTCATACCCACTGCTGGCATGAAGCAGCGGATGCCTGTATCGATGTTGGCTTTTAAGGGTAGCACGAGTTTGCCCATGCTTAAGAAACTGGCTGTTCACATTACACAGTGAATGTGTGATGCTGTTTTATAGCCAGAGGTGGATAACAAGACTGCCTTTGTGTGTGTGTGCATGCGTGTGTGTGTGTGTGTGAAATAGAAGGTACAGTTGGAAATAAAATAAAGGTCATCAGTCATGAAGGGAGGCAGATTACAAAGACATTCTCAGATGACTTTCCACATCATTTCACTGACACTTCTCCATGTCCAACTGAGTCAAAAAAAATATTGCTATTCTGGATACTAACTTATATTTGGCTTCCTCTCACACTTTTTTTTTTTTGCATGATGTTGTTGTCGCTCTTCCTGTCTAGTCATAATTTTCACCAAAAACAACATGTGAGGATGAGTTTTACTTAGTATATACCTTGTGGCTTAAGCACATG